TGGGGGGTGTGGGGAGAGCCAAGAGCGCGAGGTGGTGAGCCACACCCCCCACCATTGCCACCTCGTCAGTTTCTAAGAGAATCTCAGGGTGTGCAGCCGCATAGACCGCCAGCTGCTGCAGCGCGTGCTGCTGCCGCCGTAGCAGCGCCTGCTGCGCCCCTGCACGCGCGCCCAGGGGTGCCGGCCCAGGCTCCTCGCCCTCGCCCTCGCATTCGCTCCCGTCAAAAGGTTGTGGCGCGAATGTGCCTATGTATACGGTGGCTGCAAGAACTGCGCACCCGGACAGAAGGCCTGCCGCAGGTGTGCGCGCAAGCAGTGACTGGTGCCCGCTGCACCGCGGGGCGCTGCGTGCGCGTTGTGCGGCAGCGCGCCTACCGTAGCTTTATGTGTCATAAACATGTGTCCCGCTTACAAGCACAGTCGTATGCCAAGTGCTATTCTGTTCTCTTAGTTGTGGGGCACACTGGCGCCGCAGCTGCACGGCATGTCCTAGTTTTGGTTATGGGCCTTGTGTTGGCATTCGCAGCCATCGCGACGGTGCCATAGTCCTGTGCCCCGCCCCCCAACTTGGAGGCCTGTAAAATGTGGGCAGAGCAGGCAAATCCACACACGCACCGCAGCAACCGTCCACATCCGCCCGCAGTCGAACGTCCACCCTCACTCCACAGAGTCGCCTGCATGGGGTCGTGTCCTTCAATGCCCTTGAAGGGCCCGGTTTAGTACTTCACAACTGAGTTACAGAAGTTGGTGTACGTCCGTCACGTTACACACTTCCATCAGCACACCATGGTAGCCCGGGGGGCAGATCCTGCGTATGAGATGTTCAGGTGCTGACGCCCTGGTCTTGTGCCGCCCCTGCACCACAGGCGGGATAATCATCAGGGAGGGTCAATTCATTACGTAACTGAGGGAGCGCGCATGGGTAGCCGAGGTTGCCAAGGTGTGGTGGAGTGAGAGCTGGTGCGCATGGGTGCCTACCAAATACGTTCTTGCTTGCACTTGTTTGGTATCAACTCTCGTCTGGCATCAAGACGCTGTGCGGCGTGTTAGTAGGGAGCACACACTCTGCGCTACAGACGAGCGACGGATGGGGACTCAGCTGCCAGCGGCTTTGCGTGCATGCGCCAGCTTGACCAGGGCCATGCATGCAGCGTGCACACCTCACGCGCCCCACCACGGCCCTCCCAAACCTGCTGTTGCATGCCGCAGGGGTGGCGGAGATCAAAGGCAGCAGTCATGCCCTTGCGAATGTGGGGTGCTGGCGGCAGGGGGCTGTGGCATCACGGCCTGCACCTGCGCCGGCGCAGCCCACGGCGCGTGCTGTTGCTGTCGCAAGCGGCTCAATCTGCGCGGCGCCTGGGCATTGGAGAGGCCTCAGGGCCAGGCTCAGCTTTGCAGGGGGGAGGGGGGTATGCTTACGTCAGGTTAGTAGCAGCAAATATCCAGACAAACTAATCTCTGGCCTTTACTGCAATACATACGTATGAGCCACATAATGCCGTTACATAAGGGGGCCCCCGCTTCAACAGGTTGCTAATTGAGGCGGCAGGAGTCTTGCTGACACACCTTGATGATCATTTGAGCAAGCAAGTTGTGACCTGCGGCGGTCCTACCGACAGCGCTGTTGCACCTTGAAGCTTGCCTCAACCGGCAACAGGCTTGGGTCAGTACCACACAAACCACAAATAGATCGCAGTTACTTGGCTACCTCCCTGACTGAGTGCGTTTCCATCAACCTGTCACGACGGGTGTGTTGCGGTTGTTTGGGGGCTTGGCCGCAGGTTAGTCGCGACCGATCGGGCGAGCCAGTGGGGGGTGGTGGGTGCTGCAGAGCGGCTGTCAGCATCCAGGAAACGTAAATCCTCTTCGGCAACGCAAGCATTGCACCATGCGACCAACCACAAGCCGCCCTGCACTTGCATGGGTTAAGGGTGTAGGGTTCACAACCTTGAACCTCCTAAAGGCTCAGTCCCGAGTGGCGCCGTTGTTGAATACGCTTGTATGTGGGACGACCTCTCATTCGCTCGCGTTTGCTCATGCAATGCTGACCCCGGTGCCCGCAAAAAAGCCAGGGTCCTTGCACCTCCATGGTTACTTCCATCCGTTGCAGCGGCCAGTGTGCGCGCCGCTCCATGAAGCAGGCCCGATAATCGCCTGACAAATCTCCGAGGCAAGTCTGTCCTGCGTCAACATAGCCGGGTCACAAACTGGTGTGACCGAGCAGAAGGTACTACCCCCTTACTAAGGCACATGGGAAACCCAGGCACAGACACATCACACAGATGTGATCAGAGTTGGACCTAAACCACAACGGGTACAGGACAGACTGCACCACAAGACGATGGATTATGCCGGAAGCACAGCACCACGTGCAAAAAGACAGGTATTGCTACGCAGGATGTATGGCAGCATCGCCCTGAGAACGAGAAGAAGTCCCAGTCAAAGCGCCGGGTTATTCGTGTGCCAGGCGCAGCATGGTGCGGCGCTAGTTGGCGCTCAGTCACGCTATGGGAGCGCCCGGCTTGGAAAAAAAGGCGGCATTACAACATCTGCACTTCAGCAGCAGCAGCAGCAGCAGCAGCAGCAGCAGCAGCAGCAGCAGCAGCAGCAGCAGCAGCGACGACGACGCAAATAGCAATGTTAATCTATACTGCCCATCGCGCTTGCCTCGGGCAGGGGCAAAGAATGCAGCTCAACGAGAATCAGAGCTGAAATGCGCCGCCCGCACGACCCGGCGACTGCTGTGTCCGCAACACCACGCATCCAGGCGCCCTGCCCGCCAGGCCGCCCAGTTCGGGCCCCTCGGGACCTGACTCAGCGTGCGATGGGCGGCTTACAGCGCGCCGGCTCAGTCGCTGCGGGCGGCCAGCAGCGCGTGCTTGCGGGCCTGGTGGGACATGGCGCCGCCCAGCACCAGGCGCGTCTCGTCCTAGCAAAGGAAGGGGCGTATTGCGGTTTGGAGTGGAGAGAATTGTTTTGAGAGGAACGCGCGGATGGTAATCAGGGCAGGCAGTGGGGGATCACAGTCAGTTAGGTAGCAGCAACCGGAATTTCGGGCTGCTGACGCGCAGGCGTGGGGCAGCAGGAAAACGACAGGAAACTGCAAAGGCATGCGGCATGCGTCTCAAGGGGCACAACGGCAAACGTTGAATGGGTTGAGCACCTGGTAGGTGTCGAGGCGGAAGCGCATGCGCAGGTTGGGCACGTTGGTCTTCTGGATGTCGTTGCCGTCCGGGCCTGGCCGCCAGTACTCCTCTGCGGTGCGTCCGAGAGCGTGCGTGCATGTGTGTGTGTGTGTGTGTGTGTGTGTGTGTGTGTGTGTTTGGTGTGAAGCAGCGGGACCGTTGTGTGGGTCTTTGTAGGGCAAAAAGAAAGTGGGTGGGGCTGCCTTTTTGCGGCGAGTTGTGGAAAGCAACGTGTGGTGGTTGGGAGGTGCGTGGCGCCCCGAGAGTTTGCAGGTTGTGGCCAGAAACCATGGGGCCCTCCAACACCGGCCTGATAGCACCCCACCCGTGCCTGACCCCTGCCGCCAGCAATGCCCAGCCAACGCTGGCAACGGTCAGCTGACGCCAGCGAAGGATGCGCGCCGAGAACAGCGGCCAGCGCCCGGCGCCTGGCCGCCCGCGCCCAGGTCAAAACACAGCCAATCTCTTCTGTTATGCGCGCGGCACGCGGCGTGCCAAGTCTTGGCGCAGCTGAGAGGGTCACGCGACGGGGATTCCTGCGCTCACCCGCGACCCAGTGCTTCTTGCAGGCGTGCGGGAAGCCGCTGTGCAGCACCCCGTTGCGCGCGATCTCGCACAGATCAGTGGCGCTCAGCTTCCACACCTAGCGGGGCGGGAGGCGGGGGGGCGCTCGCGGGCTCAAATGTGCTTGAGGGTGGGGGAGGTGGTGAGTGACTGTTTGTGTGTGTGTGTGTGTGTGTGTGTGTGTGTGTGTGCCTTGTCTATACTTGTAAGTGTGTTTGCGTATGTGTGTATGCGCGTTCAAGCTTTCATTCGTGTGTGTGTGAGAGTGTGAGTGTGTGTACGTGTACATGTACGCATGTGTGTGTGTGTGT